TGGGACCAGGCCCTTGAGTACTTTCCAGATATATATTTTCATGTATCTCTCCTCCATTCCATTGAGTACATGTTCAAGACTTTAAGATGTTCCCAGTAATTTAAGTACTTTACTGGCTCTGTGTGCCGTAAACAATCTCTGTATTTATTCTAGCTCTGACATTTCTCCTGCTTGGAATGGGGCCATCAGCACTGAGCAATATTCCAAATGAGGGAGCACTAGCAGTATGAAGAATGTCACCATTGGCAGTATTTCCCTTGTTTTGAAAGTTCTTAATACCCACCCCATTATCCTCCTGGTTGTCATGATCTTTGTCTTATTATGGTCTTTGAAAGAAAAAGTCAGCTGACATAATTATTCCCAAGTCTTTTACTCTTGTATGTGTTCCTTTCATTCTATTTGGTGATCCTCTTGAGTTTTGTATATAGTGTTCCTTTTGAGTTCTTCATTCTTTCCATGCCTAAGCAACTGGAACTTATCACCATTGAACGTCTTGTTCTCCACTGCCCACTGGAAAACCCTGCTTATGTTTTCCTGTAATTTTTAAGTGTCTTCTACCATTTCTCCATTTTTAGGTGTCTTAGCTGAAATTGCCCAGCATCAAGATATTTGGGGATGGGGTTGGGAGATTTTCCAGACAGTAGTCAATTTTTAAAAACTGTTCCCTGAATTGTTGGGAAGTTGTATCAAGTAGCGTGTATACAACTACAATGACAAGGTTTTAGTTTTCGATCCTTACTGCCAAAACTTCAAGTACATCATTTGTGGTCTTTAGTAGTTCCGAGCAAATGAGCAATTTGATGACATAGAGGCCCCCCCCCTTTGTTGCCTGTTCTTTCTGTCGCATCTGAATACGTTGTACCCTGGGATCCATATTTCATTGCCAAAGTTATTCTTTGTGTGGGTCTGTGTGAAAGCCACAAACATTGCATTTGACTCTGTGAGCAATCCACTGGTGAAAGGCATTTTGTTGTTTGTTGATGGCTTTAGACCCTGTGCATTTTCAAATACAGTACTGTACAAATGTTGTTGTATTGATGTTATAGGGAGGAAGGCTTTATTTGGCACTAATATCTGTTGTTCTGGAGTGGGGGCTACTGACTGTCCCTCCACTCCAGTAGTGGTCCAATGTGGTGTAGTATTTCTGTCATTTCTTCCCACTTTTTTTCTTCCTGGCACTAAAAATCTGTCTCTGGAGTGGTTGTAACTACCCTAATTTGTTTCCCATGGTCTGAGTGATCTGTACCTTCTTGTCCCCATTAAATGGTATGCTTGACAGTATGTGTTGTAGCATTTTCTTTCATGGACTGAGGAGTAACACATTTCAGGGTGAAATAGTTTACAAGAAGAGTTGCATTCACCTTTGGCCATGAGGCTGTGGCATTTTTGGGATGGTCAGAATTACATGTCCCACCTTTTTTTTTTTTCCAGATATTCCATGCCTACAGATACCCAGGGCATAGAATTTGCATAGATTTGATTTCTGTTTGCCAGGAACTTTTGTGGCTGGGTTCCCTGCTGGTGCATTTTTTCTGACTCCCAATTGTTTGCAGCACCTTTACTAGCATCAGTGTCACCACCAGTTATTACTGGTGATGTATCAACACTTTCCCAAGCATCATCCCCTTTTTGTTCATCTTCAGCTGTATTGCTATTTTATATTTCTGGAACTTTTATATCTTCATCTTTACCTGTTCATCAATACCAAGACCACTGTCTCCATCTGGTGCACTTCCTTACATTTCTGTATCCTTATGGGTACTGTCTTCCAAGACAGCACCAGCACCAGGGATGATGGCTCTGTGTGACCCACTCTCTTTACTCTCACAACTGTTATACAAGACTCAAATTTTAAAAAAAGGATATACAGTGGAACCTCTACTTGCGAGCGCATCCACGTGCGAGTTTTTCCAAATACGATCAGTTGATGGGTCGATTTTTTGTTTCCATAAGCGAGCAGACCTCAAGACAGGTTCCTGGACGCTGGTGAGGGGCTCTTGCTCTTGATCTAGGGAATTGTATCTCATTTGTTTGTTGGACTATCTTATTGAAACTTAAGCAATGTATGATGGAAATATGCTTCTTAACATACACCAAAAATGAAAGAAATCTAAGCATAAATAGTGAAATTCACTTCTCAACAGTTAGCCACCCCTTAGCGGTATTTTCGTATGATTTTTATGCTTGCATTCTCGTTTTTTTGGTCTCATTTGATAGAATGGAACATATATTACAGAAATAGATATGATTTTGATTGCTTTCACAACGAAAAGTACCTTGAAATTGAGCTCAACACAGGAGAAATGTTCGATTGTTTTGGGTATGTTAAAGAGTAAATAAATGACATCACTGTCCATTCCAATATGTAGCCGTGAATGGGTTGACATTATTTATACAATTATTGCAATAAGGCATAACAGTAAATCTTATATTATTTGTGTAAATAAAAATTACAAATTATTTATTTTGTAATAATAATAATATGTATATGTATAATAATAATAGTACGTATTATAATACAATAAGAATAATAATATAATACAATAAGAATAATATAATACAATAAGAATAATAATATAATACATATAATAATATAATACATATAATAATAATATAATACATATAATAATAATACATATATAAAAATAATGTACTACATAATAATAATTATAATAATAGACGGCTTCAAAAGGCCATCACTAGATGGCAGCGTTTACCACAACATAGAGGGAGCGGTTGTGGCCGCCTCCACCTGTTACATAATGCTATATTTTATTCATTCTAGAGTATATATCAGGTTTTTGCGTTATTTACATTGTTTATTATTTCATATTAGATGAACTGTGATAGATAAATAATCCGTAGAGTTGATGATAGCGAAATATTCAAGGGGTATTTTGTCCTGTCTCCAGACAAACTCTTGTGGTCTGCCGCTGCCACATATATAATGACATATTTCATTCATTCTAGAGTATATATCAGGTTTCTATGTTATTTACATTGTTTGTTACGTCATATTAGATGAACTGTGATAGATAAATAAGCCGTAGAGTTGATGATAGCGAAATATTCAAGGGGTATTTTGTCCTGTCTCCAGACAAACACTCGTCGGCCACCGTCGCCGCCGCCGCATATATAATGACATATTTTATCAATTCTAGAGTATATATCATGTTTCTATGTTATTTATATTGTTTATTATGTCATATTAGATGAATTGTAATAAATAAGCTGTAGAGATGATATTAGTGAAATATTGAAGAAGTATTTTGTCATGTCTCGAGGCAAACACTTGTCAGCCGCCATCACATATATAATGACATATTTTATTCATTCTAGAGTATTTATCAGGTTTCTATGTTATCTACATTGTTTATTATGTCATATTAGATGAAGTGAGATAGATAAATAAGCCTTAGAGTTGATATTAGCGAAATTATTGAAGCACAGAATTCCACTTGAACTGATTAATTGCATTTCAGTTAATTTAAATGAGGAAAATTGACTCTGCAAACAAGCAAATCCAGTTGCGAGCAAGGTCTTGGAACGGATTAAACTCGCAAGTAGAGGTTCCACTGTATATATATATATATATATTTTTTTTTTTTTTGGGGGGGGGGGGGGTTCTGTCTTTTAGCATAAATGTAATTTTATCCCACAGGTGTCTGTCACCTTGGCAGACTCAAAAACATTTTCTTGTTTTAATATCATTAGTGACTAATTCTTTAACTTATTGGTATTATATACCAATAAGTAAGTTTATTTAGGTTCAGGTACACCTAAGTACAGTTATCATATATAGTGTAAATTACCTAGAATAACCTAAAAAAAAAAATGACTTATTTCCACTAGGTGTCCTTAGGCATCATATTTTAGAATGTTGTAATTATATCCAGAAGATTAGGTTACCCATCCATTAACACCTTCCTAGTACCTTGCAGGCAACCAGTATATCCAGGTTCATTTCTGGGTGAGGAGGGACATATAGGCAAGCCTCCTAAATTTTTTCCCTTTTTTTTTTACCTAGTAATAAATAGGTAATTAAAGTAGCTTAAAGAAGAAAAAATCACCATCACTCATTTGGTAGGTGTTTTACCAAAAGTGCAGGAACATAGAAATTTAAAATGATGCTCTGAGCTGTCACGTAATAGGAAGTGGGTCTTTCTCATGCTCAGCAGATGGAGGATCAAGCCTTCACCATGTCTTGCGCTGAGTGATCCAAATGGATTTAACGTTTAACGTGGATTAAACAAACTATCCTTCATCACAGTACTTATTGCTGAAAATGATTGATTCATCATAGAAACAAACAATACAGTTGCATGCAGCTAGTTTTCTACAGTTTTCTCAAAATTGTCTGTTCAAGGATGCAGAGTCAGTAGACCAAATGCCCACTCCTGATATTTTTATTGATAAAATAATTTAAAATAAAGCTAATTTTACTCTTTTTGACCATAGTTGATGATTTATCGGCTAATTTTTTTGGTATCAGTATGAGCCTAAAATTTAATACTGTATTGCTATTGGCAAAAAATTTTATATTCTCCCATTACTAGTTCCTCTTCACAAAAAAGGGCAACAGAATATTAGAAAAAAGCTACAGAATATTAGCTAAAAGCAGCTGACCAGTAGCATTAACATTACACAGTCACAACAAAATAATTTCACCTGTCATAAACAAGTACTATTATCAACCATCCACTCCTCTTTCGTTGCTCTGTTAAATCGTGGGTTTATATGTTTTAAATTTTTTTTAACATACCATTTATTATAATAACAGCACTGTATGGCCCTAATGCATTGGTTTAGCACTTAGTTTTGATAATAATATAACAACACTTGGTAATATTTGCATTTACAGGTGCTGTGTATAGCTAGGTATGAATTTGTGAAAATTACTGTACTGTATATTACTTAAATGTATTTTTCTTGAATGACAAAAGCTGCACTCTATACACTATTTTTTACAAAATCATGTGACTGATTTTTTTTCTTTACAGACTTTAGCACTATCCAAGCCTCCAGTTTGGGAGGTGGAGCATGTACAAATAAACAAAAGTGGGAGTGGTGTTGCACTGATAGGACGGCGAGGTGTGGCCGTTGTTGAGTTGCCTCACCGATCAGGTGATCCTCCTCTTTATGATGGAGGGAGGGACACCATCACATGCAGGTAAATTCACGTTATCTGCCCATTTAGTTTTATTAAATCTTTTTACCCATTTTGTCTTTTTAACTACACCTACCATCCGACTTACGACCTGCTCGACTTTCGACTACTCGACTTATGACCGTGTTTTTTATGCCAAATTTCTGGGAAATAAACAACTATTTGTGTTGTACACAGTGTTTATCCTAAACCTTACAGTATAAAATACAGTACTAACAACATAAAAAGTAAAGTAAAACATGAAATACCAAAATAAAACAATAAAATAAAATCATTACAAAAATGTTTTGTTGATATTCAGTAGTAAAGTTCGATTTACGACCATTTCGACTTACGACCGGTTTCTCGGAACCGAACTCGGTTGTAAGTCGGATGGTAGGTGTATATAGCAGTATTAGTATACACTGTATATACATACAGTGGTAGGGATGTCTTCAATATAGAGCATAAATTTTTCTGTTTTCTTACTCCACCTCTCCTCTCATTCCCTCTACTCTCATCCCCTATCATAACCCTTGTAGATATTGGTCAGTTTTGATGGTATTGATATCAGCAAAGCATTTGGTATATCATCTGTAGTAAGTCTAATATTTGTAATAAGTTTTTATTAATTTTAATTTAGATTGTGTTAATACTTTTTACACAGAATATATTGCAGCACATTGGAATTCATTTGGTACTTTAATAGTTTTTTTTTTCTCTCAGTTATCAGAAGGTGTGTTTTTATATGTGATTTTTTACAACACAGTTTGACAGTTTAGTTTACTGTTAATCTGTAGTCTGATACATATTACTCTTAGGGTAGAGTATGTGGCTGAACGATTCTTCTTGTGTCATCCTAAACTGGAGGTGATGGCTGCTGCTTGGCACCCAGGATCTCTGGAGAACAACCACATAGTTATCCTGGCCTCTGATAATTATCTTCGGTAAAGTGCCGACATCTAAGTTACATTGTCGTTATTGGAGTATGCAAGAGGGTAATAGCCTAGTTATTATGAAAGTAATTACAAGTTCTGACATTGTTACAGTATTCTTGCAATAGCCAGTTAGACTTTGATTCCTAGTTATTATGAAAGTAATTACAAGTTCTGACATTGTTACAGTATTCTTGCAATAGCCAGTTAGACTTTGATTTGCAAGAACACTCTCCAAAATCTGGCATCTCTGTTGTCGTTAACTTGTTTAATAAAATTTTAACATAATTATGAAAATAAAATTTTAACATAATTACAAAAATTTTGTTTATTACATTATATACCAGTACAGCTCCATGGGGGAAGTGGAGAGGAACCCTTCCTCCGTAAGCCATGTATGTTGCAAGAGGCGACTGAAATGCTGGGAATAAGGGGCTAGTATAACCCCTTCTCCTGTATAAATTACTAAATGTAAAAAGAAGAAAAACTTTGTTTCTTTTTCAGGTCACCCTACCTTGGTGGGAATGGCCTTTGTTTTAAAAACAATACTGGTACACGTACAGTATATTTTTTGTCTTACAGCATTTAATGTTTCAGGATATACAACCTAACTTCAAATGAAATTCCAGAGCAAGCAATATCTCTTGGTTCAGGAAGAGTAGGTGTTATTAGCAGCTCCAATTTCACTTGTAGCTCTAATCTTGGAGAAAGTGCTGTGGCATTTGATTTTGGCCTTCCTAATGAACCAGTCATGTGCCCCTCTGGAAATCCTGTCTCTAATGGAATAATTGAAAATTTGGTGAGTGATAACTTATTTTGATAGCATTATGCTGTTTTTTATAAACCTAGTTAGTGACAGTGACAATTACAGAAACACTATTAGCAGAAACTTGTATATTTTTTCGAGGGTACCAGGAAATCTCTCGTAAAAAATTCTGGATCCGTTAGTAAAAATTGAGCCCTCAATGGTAGTACTTTTGGTTCAAAATCAAAAGGACCCAAGCTTGAGTCCCAGGTGGGACTAGACTGATGAGCAAGTTTCCTTACACCTGCTGCCCCTTCTTGCATATCATTATAGTAGACAGCTAGGTGTTAGTTAACTACTGGATTGTGGGTTACATGCTAGAGAATGATCCCAGTAGAAAAAAATTTTTTTTGTTATTCTGTGCTAATGATCCTAAGAATATCTTTCATGTTTTTTACTAGGTTACTATGAAAACATGGCCAGAAAATTTTTGGGTCCATCTACAAAAAATTGAAGTTCACAGTAATGAAGTTAGACCAATTAATCAGTTTGATCAAACTACATGTATTAATTGATTAACCCTTTGAGGGTCCGTCCCATAGATCTACGGCTTTACGTTCAGGGTCCAAACCGTAGATCTACATCACGAGCTCAGCTCACTGATAAACTGTGAGTGGTACATTTGGGCCTAGATATGAGAGAATACATCTATGTGGTATGTGTGCACCACATAAAAAAGATCCTGCAGCACGCTGTGTATAATGAGAGAAAAAAACTGAAATCATGATTTTTCGATTAAAACAGCAACTTTGCAGTGTTTTTTTGTATGTTTTTTATAGTTCTATTTGCGATTTCTTGGTCTCATTTGATAGAATGGAAGACATATTACAGAAATAGAGATGATTTTGATTGGTTTTCGCACTGGAAATGGCTTGAAACTGAGCTCAAAGTAGCAGAAATGTTAAATTTTTGCCGATATTCAAGAGTAAACAAACGACCTCACACGTCTAATACACGCCAGCTGGTGGGTCTAATATGCATTCACAAATATGGTGATGATATTTATACAATTATTACAGTATTGCATAACAGTAAATCTTCTATTTTTTGGTGTGAATAAAAATTTATTATGTGAATAAAAAATCAAAATGGAATTTATTTGTAAAGCCTCAAAACGTAACTAATGAACAGAGGAAATGTTAGTTTAGTTCCAGGAATACCTACATTGTTTATTCTGGACCCTATTTTGAAATTGGAATATTTTGAACTTTGTGTTAAATTGGCCAAATTAACAATTTCCGATCACTTTAATTTGTAGTTGAAACAGTTGACTTGGCAATTTCTTGTGCTCAGTCGATAGAATAGAAATAATACTAGTGAAATAGCTAAGAATTTGGTTGACTGGAATAATGTAATTGGCCTAAAATGGGAGTCAAAGTCGGCAAAATCACCGATTCGTAAATATCGCTGACACATCAAAATTCGCGAGAGCATAATTTCGTCAATTTTCCATCAAATTTCGTACTTTTTGTTTTATTATCTTCACAAAAAGATTCTCTACCATTTCATAAGAAAAAATAATTTTTTTTTTTTTTTAAATTCTTGGACACTGGGGCACCACTTCAGATTTGGGCCTTGGACCCTGAAGGGGTTAAGTTTAAGAGTAATAGTTTTAATTTGGTATGGGTGTTTAGTTTATTCATTTGGGCATAATATTTTTGTCAGAATTGTAAATAAAAAATAGAATGTATTTAATTGTTATATTAAATTTTTTACTTAGTTACCAATTTCTTCACAATACTGTTCATATGTGTATGTAACAGTAATGACAGGATTTGGATTGGTATCAGACTATTATTGATACTTTATGTATAATGCACTGTGTCGTCCTTTTCTAACGTTACCAGAATTTACATGACAGCGTCATCCATCAAAGACACTACAGTTCAATGAAGGCAAATTTCATTTACTCCATTATGTTAAATTCTGCCTTCAGCTCTTGGGTTGAAACCATTGAGGTTGAAGACATTAGGTTACTAATGAAAATTCACTTGCCTGAAGCCATTGGCTGCAGTGACCAGCACAATCATTTTCTTAGTTTCTGACACATTCAGGGCACTCATCAGGCATATTTGTGATCAGCATGACAAAATAAGTCTTATATAAGCTAGTAAAATGTTTAAAGAGCTTTAGATCTTGATGTTTGTATGCTTATGAAAAGACGGACAATAACTAAGCGACAATGATTGTTTCCTTTGCGCCTTCTTGCAAGTGAGGTTGATAGTTACGTGCCATATTATTACATCAGGTATTTGTAAGTCTTCTCCATGGGGAAGTGGAACAGAATTCTTCTTCTGTAAGCCATGCGTGTCGTAAGAGGCGACTAAAATGCCAGGATCAAGGGGCTAGTAACCCCTTCTCCTGTATATATTACTAAATTTAGAGAGAATGGATCAAAGTAGAATGACGTGGAAAGCATATAAATCTATAGGGGAAGGAAAGAGGGGTAGGGGTCGTCCTCGAAAGGGTTGGAAAGAGGGGGTAAAGGAGGTTTTGAGGGCGAGGGGCTTGGACTTCCAGCAAGCGTGCATGAGCGTGTTAGATAGGAGTGAATGGAGACGAATGATACTTGGGACCTGACGATCTGTTGGAGTGTGAGCAGGGTAATATTTAGTGAAGGGATTCAGGGAAACCGGTTATTTTCATATAGTTGGACTTGAGTCCTGGAAATGGGAAGTACAATGCCTGCACTTTAAAGGAGGGGTTTGGGATATTGGCAGTTTGGAGGGATATGTTGTGTATCTTTATACGTATATGCTTCTAAGCTGTTGTATTCTGAGCACCTCTGCAAAAGCAGTGATAATGTGTGAGTGTGGTGAAAGTGTTGAATGATGATGAAAGTATTTTCTTTTTGGGGATTTTCTTTCTTTTTTGGGTCACCCTGCCTCGGTGGGAGACGACCGACTTGTTGAAAAAAAAAAAAAAGGAAAAACTTTCGTTTTTCCTTTTGGGCCACCCCGCCTCGGTGGGATACAGCCGGTGTGTTGAAAGAAAGAAGAAAGATTTGTAAGTTTTGTTAGTCCTTGAAAAGTAGTGAAAATCTAGACATTTTATTGAATTATTACCACTAGACATTCAGTATAAATACAGGTTAGTGGATTATAGTGCAAGTGGTAGCTGTTACTTTAGACTTACATCATTGAAGCCCCAAAGGTATGAAGTGTTACATTTAGAAATAAGAAGACTCCAACATATTACTTGTGTTCATTGTTGCTGAAACCTTCATTATCCTCTCACATTAACAGACATTGTTAGGTAAAAACATTGAGAGAGAGATGCAATTTACTCTTAAATTTTTAAAAACATTTGCTGAAGATCCATAAAAGAATTCTGTCATTTTGGTTGTTGCAAATTTTGAGGATTTCTTTATATATAATATTTCTACTATCTGTAAAATGATTTACCTATAGGTGAAGGTAGGTTTGAGTTTTTGAATAGTATTAATCTTAAGCTTTGTATTTGCATGGCTTTCAGATTGATCTAGAAAATGGGAAGAGGCAAAAATTCTTGGGACTTCAGTGGCCAGTGTTCATACTGTATGGCAATGGAGAAATCTATTTTGTTATTACAAACCTCAGCACGACTAGGTACAACAGGACAGTATAATTATCTTAATTTTTTTAAGATTCAATGCTTTTTTGTTATTGCTAGTAATGCTTAAATTTTTTTAAATAAATTTTTTTCTCATATTGTGTATATACAATAGTACCCTAATTTGTTGATTATTCCTCTTGATAATATTGAAGTAATGTGCAAAATTCAAACTTATTCACTAGCTAATAAAATCTTTCATTGGATTCAAGGGTATAATAGTGTTTCATTATGGTAATTCTCATTAATTCTTAAATTTTATTATTTTGCCCTACGGGGAAATAGTTAAGATTCTTCCTTTATAATTTATGTGACATATAAGATGACCAAAATGTGAAGAGCTTGTGACTGGTTGCTCCTTTTCTGGAACTTGACTAACTGAAATTACAAAGCAGGAAAAATTTTGTTTTGCCAAGGTGAGGGAAAATGCCCTTGACTAACAAGTTAAAAAATATACAGTATACATTATTAATTATTTTGAACTTATTGTGTAGACCAGCCTTGCATAGACTGTATGGCCCCCTGAGTATGATACCAGCTTGTGATGACAACTATGGGTTGGATTCTTGTAGTCTCCTGGTTCTCCAGTCCTCTCCACCAGTGTTAGTTATTGCCACCACAACTGGCCAGCTTCACCACTGCATAGTGATTGACAGTGATGTAAATGAAGATGAATCACTGGTAAGTAAAGCAACTGTAGCATTGTATTGACAGATTTAATTACCTATTTTAGAGTGAGGAAACTAGCTCTTAATTCTTGTTCCTGGCACTTTTGGCCTACTGACATGTTATAGCCCTGTCATGTCTATTTTTTATCCTCTGTGGCTTGTGTGGAATTCTCTTCCACTGTGTTGTTGTTCAGGTTGTCCTGATTTACCAGTCTTCCATGGAAGTATTTTCTTACATAGCTAGCTCATTTGGCTCTGTAATTTACAGCTAATCACTCTTGTTCTTGTTTCATCCAAGGTAGCGAGCCCATCTTAAGTCTACCTTGTATTTTCCTTAGAATATTTTGTCATGATGTCCTCTTTTGTTCCTCATTTCTCAATAATAAAAAGGTGTAGTTTTCACATTCTTTAGGATTCGTTCCTCACAACTAAAGCACCATTCTTGATGCATTTGAGTTTCACTTAATTGTATACCATGTGAGGGATCTACACTGGTGTTGTATACTCAAGCACACACATGAGTCTTTGTCACGGTTCCCAAATGCCATACATGTTTGAGAGCTTTACCCTTGCTGCTAATTTTATTTTGTTAATGTGCACTTCAGAAAAAGAAATATTGGGTTAATGGTTATTCCAAAGACTTTCTTTAATTTTCTGTGAACTTTTTCTCATCTAGATAGTGCTGTTTTCAGTTGTCTTTTCCTGTCTTCTAGCTTGATAGTTTTGTTTTACATTTCTAAAGCCTTTTGGTTAATATGTATTGAGAAGGCAGCTATGTAAAGTGAAGGAAGTCCCAAAAACATTTGTTACCTGCTACATTCCTTTTAACACAGGATTTCTAGTGGGAAAATGCATGAGGTCCCAAAACCAAAACAACAGCTATTCATTAAAAACAGTGTGATAATACTAGGGATTTCATGGTACCAACACAAAGTTTGTGTATTGTCATTTGATGATCATGGCACCCTAATGGTTAATCTAAGAGTGGAATGCACACTGAAAAATATTTATACTGGCATTATAGGTAGTAGGTTGGTAGAGAGCAACCACCCAGGGAGGTACTACTATCCTGCCAGGCGAGTGTGTAATGGAAACTGGTAATTGCTTTACACAATGGCAGGATTGCTGGTACCATTTCCCCCTGTGTTATAAACACATAAGATGACAGGTACATTTTGCAACTTCTTACATTTAGTTCATACGGCACATGCAGTGTAGGGGATGTCCTAAAAAAAAAGTTGGAGGGAGGGGATAAAGGAAATTGAGTGTAGTTGCTTGGACATGTAACAGGCTTGTGTGAGCATGATAAGAATGAGTGGAAGCAAGTGGTTTTTATGATTTGATACTCTGTTGGAGTGTGAGCAAGGCAAAATTTATGAAAGGGAAACTGGTTAGCCTGGCTTGTCCTGGAGGTGTGACATACAGTGCCTGCACTGAAGGATGAGTGGGGAGGTTACAGTTTGGAGGGATCTGCACTGTGATGTTGGTGCCCTTGTGGCAAGACTGTGGAAATGTTTTATTTTTTGTTGGGTCACCCTACCTTTGTGGGAGACAGTTAGTGCTAAATTTTTGTTATAATAATGTAAGTTTTTATAATTTTGTTCTGTATTTTGATTCACAGTGAAGAGAGTATCAATAAGTTTTGTTTTCAGTCCAGTATAGCAACATCAGTAAAGCTTCATGTTTACGAGACTGTTGAGCTGGAATTGTCACTTCTTCCAGACGATGAAAATTTTACTTCGCCTCTCTCGCTTCATCCAGATCCCACTACACCTACAAGGTATGCTCAACTTTCACTTTCTAATTCAGGTACATGACATTTCAGACAATTATTTATGTAGTTTAATTTTTTTAAACTTTTTGGCCATTTCCTACATGAGGGTCATCAAGAGAAGAGAAACATCATTCACCATCACTCATTTCCAAGTTGTCTTCCAAGAACACAGACATCTTAATTTCAATGATTTGGCTTTTGTTAACTGAATGCTCTATAGATGTTACATTGCTCACACTCCAGAGTATATCTGCACTACCTCCAGTTTAATTATTTATTATTATTTTTTTTTAAGGTGTGGGCTCTATAATGGTGCTACATACTCAAAGATGGGCCTGACATGTGTTGTGTAAAGAGCCCAGAGTGACTCTTTGTTGAGATTCCTGGAAGCTACTCTAATATTTACTAGACAAGCACTGGCTGCAAAGGTTATTTGTTATGATCTTTGGCATTATGCCAAGCTCTAAGGTCACCACTAGGTTTTTTTGTATGAAGTCTGCAGCCTATGTCCACCAAGTCTATACTTTTGTGTCAGGTTTTCTTGCTCTTTACCCCAGTCTTCGTAACCTTGCATTTGCCGGTGTTGACTTCAAGCAACCCCTTATCCATCCAATCTTGCAGTTTGTCCAGATGAATTTGGAGCCTTTACTTTTCATCGTCTGATTTTATTCTCATTAGTTTTAAATCATTGGCAGATAAGAATGAATTTTATTTAATCCCATCTAAAATGTTATTCATATAAAGCAGAAACAGCACCTGTCCTAATACTAATCCTTGTGGAACCCTGCTGTTTTTTTCCCCTTTCTGATTTTTTTTCCCCTGACACCCACTCTCTTTCCATCCCCTGAGGTACTCTTTGATCCACTAGTGTGGAATTTCCAAGGGTATAATTCAGAAGGTTGAGGAAAGGTTGAGGTGATTTAGAAGATGGAAAGAGGTAAAATGATGAAGAAGGTGTAAAAATCTAGGGTGGAAGGAACTGGGGCTAGGGGTTGTCTCTGGAATCGTTTGAAGGTGGGAGAAAAAGAGGTTTTGAGGTGTAGGGGTTTGAGCTTTCAGCAGGCTTGTATGAGCTCATTAGATTGAAGTGATTAAAGACGTGCTGTTGGAGTGTTAACAAAGTATCATTTATAAATGTATTCAGAGAAACTGGACTTAACCCTTTGACTGTCACAAGCCCATTTCTGAAACTGTCATTCTATGTCGCAAAATACTCGAAAAAAAAATTTCTTATGAAATAATAGGCAATCTTTTCCCGATGGCAATGACACCAAAAGTACGAAAGTTGATGGAAAACTTATGGAATTACGCTCTCACAAAGTTAGCAATTTCGGCGGTATGTATATGTTGAAAAAAGTCGGCCGTCTCCCACCGAGGCAGGGTGACCCAAAAAGAAAGAAAATCCCCAAAAAAGAAAATACTTTCATCATCATTCAACACTTTCACCTCACTCATACAAAATCACTGTTTTTGCAGAAGTGCTCAGAACACAACAGTTTAGAAGCATATACGTATAAAGATACACAACATATCCCTCCAAACTGCTAATATCCTGAAACCCCTCCTTTAGAGTGCAGGCATTGTACTTCCCATTTCCAGGACTCAAGTCCGGCTATATAAAAATAACTGGTTTCCCTGAATCCCTTCACTAAATATTACCCTGCTCACACTCCAACAGATTGTCAGGTCCCAAATACCATTCGTCTCCATTCACTCCTATCGAACACGCTCATGCACGCTTGCTGGAAGTCCAAGACCTTCGCCCACAAAACCTCCTTTACCCCCTCCCTCCAACCTTTTCGAGGACGACCCCTACCCTGCCTTCCTTCCCCTACAGATTTAAATGCTCTCCATGTCATTCTGCTTTGATCCATTCTCTCTAAATGACCAAACCACCTCAACAACCCCTCTTCAGCCCTCTGACTAATACTTTTTTTAACTCCACACCTTCTCCTAATTTCCACACTCCGAATTTTCTGCATAATATTTACACCACACATTGCCCTTAGACAGGACATCTCCACTGCCTCCAACCGCCTCCTTGCTGCTACATTCACAACCCAAGCTTCACACCCATATAAGAGTGTTGGTACTACTTTGCTTTCATACATTCCCTTCTTTCCGTCCATAGATAACGTTTTTTGTCTCCACATATACCTCAACGCACCACTCACCTTTTTTCCCTCATCAATTCTATGATACATGATATCAGTTATCTATGATATCAATTATGATACATCGTAACACTTAATAAATCCATCCGCCCACATGTCAACTCCCAAGTATCTGAAAACATTCACTTCTTCCATACTCCTCCTCCCCAATTTGATATCCAATTTTTCTTTATCTGAATCATTTGATACCCTCATCACCTTACTCTTTTCTATGTTCACTTTCAGAGAGAGAGAGAGAGGTAGGTAGAGAGAGAGAGAGAGGTAGAGAGAGAGAGAGGTAGAGAGAGAAAGAGGTAGAGAGAGAGAGAGGTAGAGAGAGAGAGAGAGAGAGAGAGAGAGAGAGAGAGAGAGAGAGAGGTAGAGAGAGAGAGGTTGAGAGAGAGAGAGGTAGAGAGAGAGAGAGGTAGAGAGAGGTAGAGAGAGAGGTAGAAAGAGAGAGAGAGAGAGAGAGAGAGAGCAATCACTGGTAAGATCCTTGAGACAATAATCTCAAGACAAATGACAGAGATTTTTGACTACCACTCACTACTTTGTGATCGTCAATATGGCTTCAGGAAAGGTTACTCTGCTGCTGATCTGTTGTTAAACCTCTCCACTAAGTGGCACCAGTCACTGGATGAATCCAAAGTCAGCTGTGTGGTAGCACTGGACATTGCTGGCGCTTTCGACCGGGTGTGGCACCAGGGCCTCTTAGCAAAACTTCAAGCACTGGGAATTGCAGGCTCTACGCTATGTCTCCTCAGTGATTACCTTCATGGTAGATCTCTAAGTGTAGTTCTCAATGGAATGGAATCAGCAAGACATCCTATTGGGGCAAGTGTTCCACAAGGAAGCATGCTGGGTCCATTGTTATGGAATGTCTACTTCAACGACCTTCTTCATCTAATCCCAGAATCACATGCATATGCAGACGACTGTACACTGACATTCACTTATCCAAGAGAAGAAATGCCAGCTGCTCTAAGCTACATCAATCACCAGCTGAGAGCTATATCAGCTTGGGGAAATAGATGGCAAGTAACATTTGCACCTGAGAAAACGCAAATGATGATCGTCTCTAGGCACCATGATGGTAATGCTGGTGCAGTAGTAAGGATGAATGGGAGGATATTGGCACCTGGAGAAGAAGTTGATATCCTTGGGGTGAAATTTGACTCCAAACTAACCATGAAGAACCATGTTGTAAATCTTGCAAACAAGGCAGCCAGGAAGCTTACAGCACTTCTCCGTATCTCCCATCTGCTTGACAGTAGGGGTTGCAAGATCCTGTACGAGGCACAAGTACGCTCACACCTTGAGTATGCTCCACTTTCTTGGTTTGCCTGCCCCCCTCTCATCTGCGACTGCTTGACAGAGTAGAGAACAGAGCAAGACGTCTCATCTCTCGCCTGGACCCATCCTGGATAGATCTGTCATTTCAGCAGAGCCTTCAACATAGGAGGGATGTGGGTGGCCTTACTGTTATGTACAAGGCCAATATTGTCGAAATACCACACTTGGATCCACTTCGAGGACAGCGTGAAACAAGCTTTTATGCCACAAGACGGGCAGAAAGCAGCAACTTCACTCTGGCTGTACCCTTCTCCAGAACATCACTCCATCTGAGATCATACATACCCAGGATGACTCGAGTATGGAACACGTTCGTACAGCATAATGATGTCAACGAGATAGTCAGTTGATCAAATGAAAATGCTGGCCCACAGATGGCTCCAACTTCATCCTGTTCCCTACTTGCATGTCTCATAACAATAAAAATGCTTTCAAATGAGCTGATGTAGGTAACAGCTCTTAGCTTGCCAATAAAGTTAGGAATCCTTAACCTGTAAATAGCTGTCAATAAAGCTAGGGATCCTTAACCTTGTCAAACCCTGTGTAAAAAAAAAAAAAAAAGAGGTAGAGAGAGAGAGAGGTAGAGAGAGAGAGAGAGGTAGAGAGAGAGAGAGGTAGAGAGAGAGAGAGGTAGAGAGAGTGAGAGGTAGAGAGAGAGGTAGGTAGAGAGAGAGAGGTAGAGAGAGGGAGAGGTAGAGAGAGAGAGGGAGAGGTAGAGAGAGAGAGGGAGAGGTAGAGAGAGAGAGGTAGAGAGAGAGGTAGAGAGAGAGAGAGGTAGAGAGAGAGAGGTAGAGAGAGAGAGGGAGAGGTAGAGAGAGAGAGGGAGAGGTAGAGAGAGAGAGGTAGAGAGAGAGAGAGGTAGAGAGAGAGAGGGGTAGAAGAGAGAGAGAGAGAGGTATAGGTAGGTGTCCATTTAACCTAATATTGTTTTCATTTGACAGGTACTGGGTGAGTCATGAGGCAGGTGTCCATGGAGTTACTGTTCCATTCATTGAACATCTTCTTCAATACACTGATTTGCCTGATGGTTAGTGTATAGTTTGTTACTTAGTAATCTGAAATATTAGAGGTAAAGGAGATCCTAATTTGCAAAAAAAAAAAAAAAAATGCACTAATGGTTTTTCAATGTACACAATAGTCATTTGTTTTGAAAGGAATAGTACAAAGCAAGGGCTATATTTCACACATTTTCATACTGGTGACGAGTGGTTGTAATGCTTTAAGTGATTTCTAAGTGCTGCTTTTGTAATTGTGTATGTTAGTAACTCTGAAGAGTGTGTGGGGTTTGAGCTCTTGTCAAGTCAGTTTTAAAACTATAACTTTGACACGTTCTGAATTGTTTCATTAACCACTTTGCTGTCCGTGCTGTAATATTACAGGTTTGAAGTCACTGTCCATTACATAATATTACAGGTTTGAAATCACTGTCCGTGCTGTAATATTACGGGTTTGAAGCCACTGTCCGTGCCGTAGAATTACGCCATGAGCTCACCTCACTCATATAAGTTGTGATCAGTAAATTTGGGCCTAGATATGAGAGAATGGGTCTATGCAGTAAGTGTACATCATATAAAAAAAACCTGCAGCACGCTGTGAATAATAAGAAAAAACTGCGACCGTATTTTTGGTTTAAAACAGAGACTTTGAGGTGCATTTTTGTATGGTTTTTATGGCTGTATTCGTGGTTTCTTGGTCTCATTTGATAAAGTGGAAGATATATTACAGAAATAAACATTTTGATTGGTTTCAGGACAGAAAGTAACTTGAAACTGAGCTTAAAGTAGCAGAAATGTCCAATATTTGCTGACATTCCCGAGTACACAAATGACGCCACTTGTCCGATACGCATCTAACTGGCCAGTCTAATACAATTTTAGGAATGCACTGACGTTATTTATAGAATTATTACAATAATGTGGTAATCTGCATAACAGTAAATCTAATATTTTTGGTGTGAATAAAAATTCAAAATGGAAAGCAAGTGTAATATTAGAGGAGCCTGGAGAAATGACTAAGAAAGAAAGGAAATGCTTTATTAGTGCCAGGAATGCCTACATTGTTTACTCTGGACCCTGTTTTTAAATTGGCAATTTTTGAATTTTGTGTGAAATTGGCTAAATTACTGATTTCTGATCACTGTTGGGTAGTTGAAATAGGTAAATGGGCAGTTTCTTGTACTCAGTCAATAGAATAGAAAGAATATTAGCGAAATACCTGTGAGTGGTCGACTGGAACAGTGGAATTGACCAAAAATAGGGCGCAAAGTGGGTGAAATTGCCGATGCGTAAACATCACCGAGACCATTAAATTTGTGAGAGAGTAATTCCACAAATTTTCCATCAAATTTCATACTTTAGGTTTTATTACCTTTGGAAAAAATATTCTCCATTGTTTCATAAGGTAAATTTGTGTTTTAATTCTTCATCCCTGAGAGCAAGTTTGAGATCAGTGGTCTCGACCCTGAAAGGGTTAAGCTTAATATATTTTAGTGAAGATTGGTAATTATTCTTGGTTTGTATTAGCTGCATTTGAAACTAAAAAATATTTTGCAAATTGGGATGCTTAAAATCTGCGTTTTCTTCTCATTCATCTGCACATATTTGATCTTGATATACTATTACTAACTGATGTTAAAAAATGTATTTTTTACCACTTATAATGCATATTGTTTCATTTTATATAAGAAATTATTTCCCTCTAAGATGAGAGTATTGAATCTGCTTTTGTCATATTTATCCTGTATTGTGCATCACGACCTACCAAATGCATCATAACTACTCAAACCCACACTATTTGCAGATGACACTACATACATTTTCTCTCACCCAAGTCCAGTCATACTAGCCAATACTGTGAATACCAAATTACAGAAAATATCTACCTGGATGATGATTAACAAACTTACTCCCAATATTGACAAAACCTACTACATTCAGTTTGGGAACAGAACTACAGATGTTCCTCTTAACATAATGATAAACGGATCACCTATCACAAAGCTCACAGGGAAAATTCTTAGGAATCCACCTTGATAATAGACTCAGATTTCAAACACATGTACAACAAATTTCCAAGAAAATCTCCAAGACCGTAGGCATACAATCGAAGATACAGTACCATGTTCCACAGTCAGCCCTCCTGGCCCTATATCACTCACTCATTTACCCTTGTCTCACCTATGGAATTTGTGCATGGGGCTCAACAACAATAAATCATCTCAGACCATTAATTACCCAACAAAAGGCTGCAGTCAGAGTGATAACAAATTCCCACTCCAGGCAGCACACTCCACTAATATTCAAAACTCTAAACTTACTCACCGTACAAAACATCCATACTTATTAGTGTGCCTACTACATACATAGAACACTAAACTTGGATATAAACCCTCCCCTCAAACTTCTCCTTACCAACCTCAACAGAAAACATGACCATAACACAAGGCACAGATCACTCTTTGATGTTCCCTGTGTCCATCTCGCACTATGTAAAAACTCAATTCACATAAAAGGCCCGAAAATTTGGAATTCATTACCTGTGAATATAAAAGAAATACTGTCCGTTTATCAATTCAAGATTCTTTTAAAAACCACTTACTCAACCACAACTAAATAAATACTGAATAACTGAATCTCATAAATGTATAACCTGTGACCCTATCAAACTATGTTTTTTTTTTTTTAATTACATTACCCAATAGAATACCCCATTCTCTTGAATGCACAGTAACTCATCTAATGACCATATGACCTGTTGCTGCACTACAAATCACTGATTTTACTTGATCTGATTCGATTATATTATACATTGTTATGCTACAGATTTGCACATCTTTAATGCTTCTTATTTGAAATACTTATTAGTACTTTATGTTGTAATTTGTTTACTGTAATTTTTACCACTGAATATATCATTGCTTAGTTAATCTTAAGTTAATTTTAAGCCTGCCCATAATGCTCTGCATACAAGGGGCTTTTGGCATGTACACCCAATCACTATATTTCTTTGTACAACTATGTATCATGTCCAAATAAATAAATAAATTAATAAATTGTTCTTTTTATCCTTAGTACTAAAGTTACCCTGTAGAGATGCATTAGGTTGTTTTATAATTATTATTTTTACCTGGTCTTTTTTTCATTGAAACTTCTCATGCTTTGTTTGCATGCATACAGTCTTAACCCTTTGACTGTCACAACCCCAAATCCTGAAGTGTTTCCTGGTGTCGCAAAATATTTGAAATTTTTTTTTTTTTTTCTTGTGAAATGATAATCTTTTCCCGATGGTAATGACACCAAAAGTATGAAATTTGATGGGAAACTTACGGAATTACGCTCTCCCGAAGTTAGCGACCTTGGCGATATTTACAAATCCGCTATTTCACCCACTTTCAGCCCTATTTTTGGCTAATTTCATTGTTCCAGTCGACCAAACTCATAACTATATCTTTAGAGCTCCAATTGTTCCATTGATTGAGTACAAGAAACTGCCCATTTACTGATTTCAGCTATTCAATAAAGTGGTCAGAAATGGGCAATTTGGCCAATTTTACACAAATTAAAAAATATGCCAGTTTCAAAAGAGCATTCAGAATAACAGTGCAGACATTCCTGGCTCTAAAATAACATTTTCTTTGTTCATCAGTCACGTCTCCAGGCCCTTCTGATATTACATTTGCTTTCTATTTTTAATTTTTATTCAAACAAAAAATAGAAGATTTACTGTTAGGCAGACTACTGCCATATTGTAATAATTGTATAAATAATGTCAACCCATTCATGACTGCATATTAGAATGCCTAGTTGGACGTTTATTGGACAATGACATCATTTGTTTACTCTTGAACATCAGCAAAAATCAAACATTTCCCCTATTTTGAGCTCCATTTCCATGTCCTTTTCATAGTAAAATCAATCAAAATCACCTCTATTTTTATAATATGTTTCCCATTCTATCAAATGGGACTATGAAAATGAGAAATAACCATAAAAACTATACGAAAATAAGTACACCTCAAAGTCGGCATTTTAATCCAAAAACACGGTCGGAGTTTTTTTTTTTTCTATGCACTGTGTGTTGCAGGATTTTTTTTATACAGTGCACGTTGACCACACAGACCCATTCTCTCACATGTGGGCCTACCAGCTTTCTCCTGCTTGATTTTGAAGCTGCTAGAATTTTTGAGTATATATATGTCAAACACATTGGCTCGTAAGACGTATATGTATATATGACCGAAACAGTCAAAGGGTTAACCCCTTGAGGGTCCAGACCCCCAGTCTCAAAAGTGTCCACAGGGTCCAAGACTTTTCAAAAAAATGTTAGTTATTTTTTCTTATGAAATGGTAGAGAATTTTTTTCTGACTAATAAACAAAAAAGTACAAAATTTAATGGAAAATTGATGAAATTACTCTTTTGCGAATTTTGCTGTGTCAGCTGTATTTACACATTGGCGATTTTGCCCACTTTGACTTCTATTTTAGGCCAATTACAGTGTTGCAGTCAACCAAATTCTTAGCTATTTTGCTAGTATGTTTTCCATTTTATTGATTGAGCACTAGAAATCACCCAGTCACCTATTTCAGCTATGCAATAAAGTGATCAGAAATTGGTAATTTGGCCAATTTCACACAGATTTCAAAATATGCCAATTTCAAAATAGGGTCCAGATTGAACAGAGCAGGCATTCCTGGCACTAGAATAACATTTTCTCTGCTCATTAGTTACGTTCCCAGGCCTATCTTAAATTACACTTATTTTCATTTGGAACTTTTATTCACACAAAAAAATAGAAGATTTACTATTACAGTGGAGCCTTGGTGTTCATATGCCCTAGTTTTCATAGGATTTGGTTTTCAACGATTTTTTTCATCAAAATTTTGTCCCAGTTTTCGTACATCTGCTCGGTTTTCATAGAGTTGAAAATGATCCGTGCCAAACTCGTCCACCTACCCACGTGACTCGGCCACTCAGGCGCCCACACAAAGCATCCCATGCATTCGTGACTCAGTCTGCCTTTCTTTCTTATTGAGTGAGCATCACCCCGCACGTTCATCCGAAACATTTTGTAATCCATTATTTTTAGTGCTTGTTTATTGGGTGTGACTGCTAAATAAGCCACCATGGGGCCAGAGAAAGTTCTGAGTGCCAGCCCCTTTGATAAAGAAGTTGAGAAACACTACGGAATTTTACCCTTTCAGGGCTGAGAGGCCCTCTCCTAAACTCGTTCTCAGGGTCAAAAATTTTTCGGAAAAAAAAAATTGTTTTTTTTCTTACGAAATGATAGAGAATCTTTTTCCAATCATAATGACACCAAAAGTATGAAATTTGATGGAAAACTTACAGAATTATGCTCTCGCGAAGTTAGCGGTCTCGACGATGTTAACGCATCGGCGATTTCACCCACTTTGAGCCCTATTTTCAGCCAATTCCAGTGTACTAGTTGACAAAAATCATATCTATTTCACTAGAACTCCATTTTTTCTATCAAATGAGTACAAGAAACCAACCATTTACCGATTTCAACTATCCAGTAAAGTGATCAGAAATTGGCAATTTTGCCAATTTCACGCAAATTTCAGAAGATGCCACTTTCCAAATAGGGTCCAGAATAAACAAGACAGACATTCCTGGCACTAAAATAACATTTTCTCTGTTCATTAGTCATGTTCCCAGGCCCCTCTTGCATCTCTTTTGCTTTCCACTTTGAATTTTTATTCTCACATTAATAGAAGATTTACTGCTATGCAGACTACTGCATTAGTGTAGAAATGCTATAAATAATATCAGGACACCTGTGAAAGAGTATTAGACTCAGCAGTTGATGTGTATTGGAAGCTTGACATGATTTGTTCACTTTTGAACTTTGGTAAAAATCTAACATTTCTGCTAATTTGAGCTCAATTTCAAGGTACTTTTCACTACGAAACCAATCAAAATCATCTTAATTTCTGTAATATGTCTTCCATTCTATAAAATGAGACCAGGAAAACTAAAATACAACCATAAATACCATGCGAAAATACACTGCAAAGTCGCTGTTTTAAACCAAAAACACGGTCGGAGTTTTTTTTTCTCATTATGCACTGTGTACTGCAGGATTTTTTTTATACTATGCACACTGACCACAGTGACCCATTCTTTCATATGTAGGCCTACCAGCTTTCTCTCACTAGATTTGAAGGCGCTAGAATTTAGGCGTACTAGTACGTCAATAACCCTGGTGCGTAAGCCGTACTAGTACGTCGGAAACCCTGAAAGGGTTAAGAAAGAACTTGTAGCAAAGTACCAAAGTGGTGTACACGTGGCCAATCTCGCCAGTATGTACAGGAAGTCCACATCAACGATCAGTTCCATCCTGGCGAAGAAAAAAGAAATCAAAGAAGCTGATGTTGCGTAAGGGGTAAATGTGCTAACGAAACAGAGATCGCAAACAATTAAAGATGTTGAGAAGTTGTTGTTGATGTGTCCCACATAGCAACAGGAGGAGCACTGCAACAGGCTGTTCCTTCTCAAATTCAACCCCTTTTTAGCCATAAATTTGTCAGCTTGTTTTTAGTCTATCCAAGAAGCTAGCTTCAACATACCTCACCTGACTCTTCATGTTGCTTCACTTTCTGTATATATTCATTTTCTCACCATGTGAATCTGTTTGTGATTTGATAAAACCCACTATGGGTGTAGTGTTGCCAATAAAGGATTGCATTGTACTTTGTCTTTTTCCATGCATGGACATAAGAGAAACCATAACACGGGCGGGGATAGAACCCATGATCACAGAGTCATAAAACTCCAGACCGACGCACTGTATTTATGAGCTGTTTTTCTTTTGGTACTTATGTAAGTTCATGTTATGTATTTTATTATTGATTCATATTTTCAGATGCAGCATTCTCAGCAAGCGAGTCTCCATGTATTGTGGATCACATACTTTGCACAAGATCGCTCACCCCTGCTGGTCCTATGCCTGTGGTGGGCTTAGTAGCTGGTACTTCTCATATACTCTATGTCATGCTGGCTTCTGGCAGGATCATCTCCATTATTATTCCACCAGCTTTTGTGCAACAAATCATAGAATCTCCTAATACCGATTTTGACCTTGCTGTGTCCCCACTTAGAAAGGTAGTAGTTATAAGGTTATATTTTTTAAATCTTCTATTGTACTGTGTTATTCATCTATGTGCATACTCAGTGCTATGTTTTGTAAGGAATTTTTCCTTCATTTAAGGGTGTTTTTTTAAGTGTAGAAGGTAGTGTCATGATGCTATGTTCCATCTGGAAGCTCCTCTTCCTGTAAGGCATGACTTTCTGAAGAACATTCTGAATTTTTGTCAGTGTAAAATGTTGAAAACAAAAATAAGTAAATAAATTTATATTTTTAAAAATTTTCAAATACAGGAGAGATGGAGATGTTTCAGTTTGGAGAGTCATTTAATTTGTGATAAAACAGTCGCAAATGGGTATTGAATAAATGATGGTGAAATGTTTCCTTTTTTGAGTTGCTCTACCTTAATGGGAGATGGTAGCTGTGTTAAATATTAAAGTGATGTCAGCACACTTGACAAGACATCAGTTTAATGTTTCTTGTTACTATGTGGTAAACTACATTAAACATAAGCTTTCTCTAGGCCTTACATTTATTTAGTAAGTTCTTATTTAGATTTTGGGTATGCAACATAAAAATTTCTTACAATGGTTTTGAAAGAACACATGCTATGGCCACATAAATAGGAATAATGTTGATTTAACCAAGGATTGACATTGAGATCAAACAGTGACATTACACCAACTTTTTTTTTTTTCTCAACAAGTCGGTTGTCTCCCACCGAGGCAGGGTGACCCAAAAAAAGAAAGAAAATCCCCAAAAAGAAAATACTTTCATCATCATTCAACACTTTCACCACACTCACACATTATCACTGCTTTTGCAGAGGTGCTCAGAATACAACAGCTTAGAAGCATACACATATAAAGATACACAACATATCCCTCCAAACTGCCAATATCCCAAACTCCTCCTTTAAAGTGCAGGCATTGTACTTCCCATTTCCAGGACTCAAGTCCGACTATATGAAAATAACCGGTTTCCTTGAATCCCTTCACTAAATATTACCCTGCTCACACTCCAACAGATCGTCAGGTCCCAAGTATCATTCGTCTCCATTCACTCCTATCTAACACGCTCATGCACGCTTGCTGGAAGTCCAAGCCCCTCGCCCACAAAACCTCCTTTACCCCCTCTTTCCAACCCTTTCGAGGACGACCCCTACCCCTCTTTCTTTCCCCTATAGATTTATATGCTTTCCATGTCATTCTACTTTGATCCATTCTCTCTAAATGACCAAACCACCTCAACAACCCCTCTTCTGCCCTCTGACTAATGCTTTTATTAACTCCACACCTTCTCCTAATTTCCACACTCCGAATTTTCTGCATAATATTTACACCACACATTGCCCTTAGACAGGACATCTCCGCTGCCTCCAACCATCTCCTCGCTGCTGCACTTACCACCCAAGCTTCATATCCATATAAGAGTGTTGGTACTACTATACTTTCATACATTCCCTTCTTTGGCTCCATAGATAAAGTTTTTTGACTCCATATATACCTCAATGCACCACTCACCTTTTTTCCCTCATCAATTCTATGATTAACCTCATCCTTCATAAATCCATCCGCTGACACTTCAACTCCCAAGTATCTGAAAACATTTACTTCTTCCATACTCCTCCTCCCCAATTTGATATCCAATTTTTCTTTATCTAAATCATTTGATACACTCATCACCTTACTCTTTTCTATGTTCACTTTCAACTTTCTACCTTTACACACATTCTCAAACTCATCCACTAACCTTCGCAATTTTTCTTTAGAATCTCCCATAAGCACAGTATCATCAGCAAAAAGTAACTGTGTCAATTCCCATTTTGAATTTGATTCCCCATAATTTAATCCCACCCCTCTCCCGAACACCCTAGCATTTACTTCTTTTACAACCCCATCTATAAGTATATTAAACAACCATGGTGACATTACACATCCCTGTCTAAGACATACTTTTACCGGGAAGTATTCTCCCTCTCTTCTACATACCCTAACCTGAGCCTCACTATCCTCATAAAAGCTCTTTACAGCATTTAGTAACTTACCACCTATTCCATATACTTGCAACATCTGCCACATTGCTCCTCTATCCACTCTATCATATGCCTTTTCTAAATCCATAAATGCAATAAGAACTTCCCTACCTTTATCTAAATACTGTTCACATATATGCTTCAATGTAAACACTTGATCTACACATCCCCTACCCACTCTGAAGCCTCCTTGCTCATCCGCAATTCTACATTCTGTCTTACCTCTAATTCTTTCAATTATAACCCTACCGTATACTTTTCCTGGTATACTCAGTAAACTTATTCCTCTATAATTTTTACAATCTCTTTTGTCCCCATTCCCTTTATATAAAGGGACTATACATGCTCTCTGCCAATCCCTAGGTACCTTCCCCTCTTTCATACATTTATTAAACAAAAGTACCAACCACTCCAACACTATATCCCCCCCTGCTTTTAACATTTCTGTCATGATCCCATCAGTTCCAGCTGCTTTACCCCCTTTCATTCTACGTAATGCCTCACGTACCTCCACCACACTTACATTCTGCTCTTCTTCACTCCTAAAAGATGGTATACCTCCCTGGCCAGTGCATGAAATTACTGCCTCCCTTTCTTCCTCAACATTTAAAAGTTCCTCAAAATATTCTCGCCATCTACCTAATACCTCCCTCTCCCCATCTACAACTCCCCTACTCTGTTTTTAACTGACAAATCCATACTTTCCCTAGGCTTTCTTAACTTGTTTAACTCACTCCAAAATTTTTTCTTATTTCATTAAAATTTCTTGACAGTGCCTCTCCCACTCTTTCATCTGCTCTCCTTTTGCACTCTCTCACCACTCTCTTCACCTTTCTTTTACTCTCCATATACTCTGCTCTTCTTATAACACTTCTACTTTGTAAAAACCTCTCATAAGCTACCTTTTTCTCTTTTATCACACCCTTTACTTCTTCATTCCACCAATCACTCCTCTTTCCTCCTGCCACCACCCTCCTATGACCACAAACTTCTGCCCCACATTCTAATACTGCATTTTTAAAACTATTCCAACCCTCTTCAACCCCCTCACTACTCATCTTTGCACTAGCCCACCTTTCTGCCAATAGTCGCTTATATCTCGCCCGAACTTCCTCCTCCCTTAGTTTATACACTTTCACCTCCCTCTTACTTGTTGTTGCCACCTTCCTCTTTTCCCATCTACCTCTTACTCTAACTGTAGCTACAACTAAATAATGATCCGATATATCAGTTGCCCCTCTATAAACATGTACATCCTGGAGCCTACTCATCAACCTTTTATCCACCAGTACATAATCTAACAAACTACTTTCATTACGTGCTACATCATACCTTGTATATTTATTTATCCTCTTTTTCATAAAATATGTATTACTTATTACCAAATTTCTTTCTACACATAGCTCAATTAAAGGCTCCCCATTTACATTTACCCCTGGCACCCCAAATTTACCTACTACTCCCTCCATAGCATTTTTACCCACTTTAGCATTGAAATCCCCAACCACCATTACTCTCACACTTGATTCAAAACTCCCCACGCATTCACTCAACATTTCCCAGAATCTCTCTCTCTCCTCTACACTTCTCTCTTCTCCAGGTGCATACACGCTTACTATAATCCACTTTTCACATCCAATCTTTATTTTACTCCACATAATCCTTGAATTTATACATTTGTAGTCCCTCTTTTCCTGCCATAGCTTATCCTTCAACATTATTGCTACTCCTTCTTTAACTCTAACTCTATTTGAAACCCCTGACCTAATCCCATTTATTCCTCTCCATTGAAACTCTCCCACCCCCTTCAGCTTTGTTTCACTTAAAGCCAGGACATCCAGTTTCTTCTCATTCATAACATCCACAATCATCTCTCTCTTATCATTTGCACAACATCCACACACATTCAGACTTCCCACTTTGACAATTTTCTTCTTCTTATTCTTTTTAGTAATCTTTACAGGAAAAGGGGTTACTAGCCCATTGTTCCCGGCATTTTAGTTGACTTTTACAACACGCATGGCTTACGGAGGAAAGATTCTTATTCCACTTCCCCATGGATATAAAAGGAAAAGTATTAAGACCAAGAACAATTAAGATAAAATCAAAGAAAACTCAGATGAGTGTGTATAAATAAATGTGTACATGTATGTGTAGTGTGACCTAAGTGTAAGTAGAAGTAGCAAGACATGCCTGTAATCTTGCATATTTATGAGACAGACAAAAGACACCAGCAATCCTACCATCATGTAAAACAATTACAGGCTTTCGTTTTACACTCACTTGGCAGGACGGTAGTACCTCCCTGGGTGGTTGCTGTCTACCAACCAACTATGTAATATTAATTAACTCTCTCTCTAGTCATTTGCAGAGCAACATGCAATGACATCTACAATTTTGATGAATCAAGAATTTTTAAAGATATTTTTGAGGTGTCAAGTATGCAACCCAGTTTTTTTCCATATGTTCCTCACTTCACGTTACATTATCACAGGTAGCACCAATTTCAGGCACATAATTTTCAAGGATGTGATGGCCTACTATAGTTAATTTATTTTTTTATCATGCTGACCATTGCCCACCAAGGTAGGGAGAACCAAAGAAGGAAACACATTCACCATCAGTCCTTCAATAACTATGTTGCCAAACATGTATTGATATTCCAATTCAAATGTTGTATTACCTTGCTGCTCATCAGTCATATGTTGGGGTAGGGGAAATAAAATTCACCTTAGAAAAGATGTACTTCCACTGTACCCACTTGGCACTGAAGGTGAATCTGATGTGCAGGACTTGACTGGTTTAAAAAAAGATATTGCATATTTAAAAATTAGTAGTGTTCTTTGGTCAACATAAAAAAAATTATTTTGTTTCAGAATCTGAAAGATCCAGGTATTATAATTTAGAGCACTAGAGCAACATTTAAATTGCAGGCAAAATTCTTGTTTTGCAAATAGACATATAACAATGAAATGCTTAAATCAAAATTCTTAATGCACTGACAGATTCATTAAAAAAATGTCCTTAATGTTATTTATTTCCATTAGGTCCATTCACAAAACTTTGAGGATCATATTCGGTGTATTTTGCACCGCTTATCATCTCAGCCACTGCTGGCTTCAGGTTCTACCTCCAAAGTTACACCCGACGAGTACCTGAATCTCCTCAACCGTATAACTGCCACCCTTAGAAAAAACTATATGCAACCTCAGCGAGCAGCTAGACTAGACATACAAAGAAGGTAGTTTCTGGTTAAGGTACCATGTGCCTTTTTAAAAGATCCTGTAACAGTCGGTTTGTCTTCAGAATAGCATATAACTAAGTTAATTGTGTTTAAAGATGCCTTAAATCTCTTCGTTTTCATTGATTTGCAGTTTTTTGGTTTGAATTTTTGATACAAGACTTCAGCAGACTCATTGATATCCAGAGCCATTTTGGTTTTCTGTTGGCCATATGTTGTTTGTCAGAAATTAAAATTCTTTATAAATGTTTATATTATGGTGAATGTTTGATATACATTAAATGACTATTTAAAGCTGTCTAGCAAGAAATAACCACACCCTCTTGTAAATAAAAACAAATTATGAAGGAGCATAATTGAGATACTTTCCTGTGCTTTTTGACATATATCTGTATATGATTAACTACATTATTTTGTAGTGTGAAATGAATCCTGGGAGAGTACAAATGTTTAATCACTGGAAGCTACAAGTGTGAGTGTATCCATCTTTATTTAATGTTGGAAACTTGCTGATGTTTATGAATTTAAAACAGCAATTTGTGTTTTAGTTTGTATTTACCAACAAATCTTATGAATAAACACGATTCATGTGGTGACTTAAATAGATGACTTGAGCATAGAAATTTAAATGGGAACAACCTGCACCTGGTGTACCAGCTAAGTCACAACGGGCCCATCGTACATAAACCAGTAGCCAGTCGTAAAATGGTTCACACATATATATATATATCATTAATTTCAAAAACTATTTACAGGTCAGATATATTAAATGAACAGAAGCAAAGATTGCAAGCAGAAGTAGATGATTTGCAAGCAAGAAAGAAATCATTAACAGAAAAAGCTCACGAATTAGCAGAGAAGTATGAAGAAGCAAATGATAAGAAGAGTCAGTTGGTTGAGAGGTAAGATGAGATTCCTGTACTTCCCTTTCATGTCCTTACATTATTGTCTTGCATCATATTTAAATATTTTACTTCGTATTTTCATTATGGTGGTGGATATGACGAATGGGGTCAGTGGGCAAAGGAGAAATGGAAGTCAGTGATTAAAAAGGATTATAGATAAAGTAGAAAATGCTTAGAAGCTATAGTAGTTTAGAATTTTCTGGTCATAGAAGAAAACTAGGGGGTCATTGAATACTGCTCTATCTGTAATTATTATTTAGTGGAGCCAAGGCCCACTTAATCTAGTACCTCAATTTGTAAAATCTCTTCTATCAAATCATCTCTTCTCCAGCTAGAACAGTGTGTGATATATGATAAGCTTACATTTTGCAATTTCTGTCATTAACTTGATAAAGTTTCCAAATGAAATATTAACAATATAGACTTGATTTTAAGGGGCATTTTTTCAGGGAAAAGATAGTATGCTGGCAGGAAAGGAATGAGGCAAAGGGCAGATGGGTTGCTTAGTTTGGTGAGGTAGAAAGAATGCTGCAAGATTGATATATAGGGTGGTGTGGATGGAAGGTGGTATATTGTGTTGAAAGGTAGGTGCTTGAATCATCCACCAGGCATGTGTGAGTATGTTGGATTTCAATGAAGAATGACTGGAAATGAGTGCTAAAAAATGATTAGAGCTGCTTTTGGAGGGTGAGTGAGGTAATATTTCAGAAGGGATTCGGGGAAACTAGCTCACTGCATTTGAGTTTTGAAGGTTGGCAAATGGAGTGCATGCACTTTTAAAGGGGTGGGATGGGGATTCTATCGTTTGGTGAATTAGCATTGGATTATGATGACTGCCCTTCCATAAGTAGTGAAAAAATGGTGGTGGTAACTGATGGCAAGTGCAAATTTTATTTCTTCAGAATCATAAAGGATGCTGGACATCAGTTTATCAATAGAAAGCAGTGACTGCAGTTACAGTACTCTGTATCTTTCCAGACTAGAAAGAGTGTTGAGTCAAGTGATGCGAGCTTTACCAGTGCTGTCAACGGGAGAGAAGAACATGATGCGTGAGTTGGAGTCCATGCAGAGCCATACTTCCAGCTTATTGAACCAATTAGCTCAAATTAAGGCTAAGGATAAATGGCAAATCAGTCAGGTGAGGCTCAGTATAAACAACTTTCTTAACTAGTTGTTATATTTTACATAATTATTAAAATGTGCATTGTAGGATTATTTTTTTTCAGTGAGGAGTGTTCTTAACAGTCATGAACAGGCTTCCTGTCTTATTTTTTTATTGTTTACCATTTATTACTTCTTCTTCAGATGGAGAAATATCAGAATACAGAAACTGTTAAAAACCAGCGAGCGTCATGTGTATCTGAAAGTCAGCTTAAAGCTCTCAAACAAGCTTTGACAAATGAGTAAGTGTGACTTATTATTGTTATTATTTTTGTCATTACATAGACTACATTAGACACCCCCCCCCCCTTTTTTTTTCCAAACCGGCCATATCCCGCCAAGGCAGGGTGGCCCAAAGAGAAAAACGAAAGTTTCTCTTTTTAAAATTAGTAATTTATACAAGAGAAGGGGTTACTAGCCCCTTGCCCCCGGCATTTTAGTCGCCTCTTACAACACGCATGGCTTACGGAGGAAGAATTCTGTTCCACTTTCCCATGGAGATAAGAGGAAATAAACAAGAACAAGAGCTAGAAAGACAATAGAAGAAAACCCAGAGGGGTGTGTATATATATGCTTGTACACGTATGTGTAGTGTGACCTAAGTGTAAGTAGAAGTAGCGAGACGTACCTGAAATCTTGCATGTTTATGAGACAGAAAAAAGACACCAGCAATCCTACCATCATGTAAAACAATTACAGGAAATGGGTTTTTATGTACTTCATTTTGTTTGGCACCTATGCTGTATACTTTTATTATCTTCATTATAGTTTTTGCATTTAGCATTCTTAAAAATCATACCTATGAATAGAGGGAGTTATTAGTATCACAAGTATATACATACTACATATGTTGTAAATACATATGAAGTTCATTATTGAAATACTGTACTGATGTAGAATTAATTTTGGTAATCATTTCAGGGGTGAGAAGTTGTCGAATCTGCTGGAGAGAGTGAACCACGTTAAGCACGATCTTCAGTTATGATGAGGGTTACAAGAATAGTTACTGCTGAAAGATAATTGGAACAAATGATGTGTTGGATTTATTATAACATTTCAGAAATTATCATGCCCAAGGGAATGAGTTTCAGTGATAGTTATATATATTCCTTTTATTGAAATAGTAAAGTAGGTTTTGTATTGTGAAGCTCATAAGCATTCAAATACTCATTTGGTAATTCATCCTGAGTGTTTCCAAATTAAAGTAAATAGCAGACTGTAAAATATTTTTTAGTCATGCTCAGAGTTACATTTTGAAGTTAAGAAAGTAATAGACATTTTAATAAAACTAGCCTTTTATATATTTTTTATGTTTTAACACATGATTTTATTGATAATGTTTATATACCATGCTGGAAATTCCCCTTTCTTCATTGGATGACACTTTGTTTATTACTTTTTAAGGCTAACTAAGGCTTGAATGCATTTGTTTTGGATTGGTTGTATATATAATAACAGTTTAACAGTATTACCTTATTGCAATAGTACTGAAGTAAACAATAATTGCAGGATATTATTGCAGATTTTTTCCTCCCCCCACCCTCATTTTTAAAGTGATCCTAATGTTTAATATGCTAATGTGTTTACCTTAGGTGTGAAAGTTGGTGCTAGGCATCGATTTTTAACAACAGTTTACCCAAAACAACCTTCAAAAATGGTTTTTGAACCCTTAAACTGTCCAAACGTAGATATATGTTGTTATCGCTAGCGCTCCAAATATAGAGCATTTTATTTTTCTTGCCTTCAAATTTGGCACAACTGGCCTGAGATGCCTGGTTAGTATAGAATGGGTCTTAACACTTGGTATGCGCAGTATTAAAAAAATCTGGGACCATTTTGTACCTTAAGGGAGCACCAGTTCAGTTGAGCACCAACTGGAGCAAACCGTGGCAGACACTAGGGATTCACTGATGCCACGTTATATTAACACTCCCCTTTTAAGAGGAAAGTGATGTTGAACACTAGTTTAGTGACTTGAGATGGATGTGGCCACAAGTGGCTGAGGAAATATAAAAAAAACTTGATAATAACTCATGTGCAACATTTTTACAACATCCTTTCAATTTTGATACCAGTGGTAGTATCATCCTGCCAGAATATCCTATAACCTATCCCCTAAGTAAAGAGAAAAGATTCTGGAACATACGTAATACGTGTTCGGCTGGCTGGCTGGTTGATTGACTTTGGCTGTCTCTGTCTCTGTATCTCTATGTCTATCTCACAGGTACACATAAGTACAGTTATCACACATAGTGTAAATTACCTAGGATAATCCAAAAAATGCAGGCAAAGTATTGGTGAATAAAAGGTTGATGAGTAGGCCTCAGGACGTACATCTTTATAGAGGGGCAACGGATATATCAGATCATTATTTAGTTGTAGCTACAGTTAGAGTAAGAGGTAGATAGGACATGAGGAAAATGGCAACAGCAAGTAAGAGAGAGGTGAAAGTATATAAACTGAGAAGGAAGTTAAGGTGAGATATGAGCAACTATTGGCAGAAAGGTGGACTAAAGCAAGTATGAGTAGTGAAGGGGGGGGGTTGAAGAGGGTTGGGATAGTTTTAAAAATGCAGTGTTACAGTGTGGGGCAAAAGTTTGTGGCTAGGAGGGTGGGTGCAGGAGGAAAGAGGAGTGATTGGTGGAATGATGAAGTAAAGGGTGTTGATAAAAGAGAAAAAGGTAGCTTTTGAGAGATTTTTACAAAGCAGAAGTGTTGCAAGAAGAGCAGAGTATATGGAGAGTAAAAGAAAGGTGAAGAGAGTGGTGAGAGAGTGCAAAAGGAGAGCAGATGAAAGAGTGGGAGAGGCACTGTCAAGAAATTTTGCTGAAAATAAGAAAAAAAATTTGGAGTGAGATAAACAAGTTAAGAAAGCCTAGGGACTGAATGTATTTGTCAAATAAAATCAGAGTAGGGGAGTTAGTAGATGGGGAGCTGGAGGTATTGGGTAGATGGCGGGAATATTTTAAGGAACTTTTTAAACGTTGATGAAGAAAGGGAGGAGGTAATTTCACGCACTGGTCAGGGAGGTATAACATCTTTTAGGAGTGAAGAAGAGCAGGAGTGAGTTGGGGGAAGGTGCGTGAGGCATTACATACAGTGAAAGGGGGTAAAGCAGCTGGAACTGATGGGATCATGACAGAAATGTTAAAAGCAGGGGGGATATTGTACTGGAGTGGTTGGTATTTTTGTTTAATGAATGTATGAAATGTAGGTAGTAAGTTGGTAGACAGCAACCGCCCAGGGAGGTACTACCATCCTGCCAAATGAGTGTAAAACGAAAGCCTGTAATTGTTTTACATGATGGTAGGATTGCTGGTGTCCTTTTTTCTGTCTCATAAACATGCAAGATTTCAGGTACGTCTTGCTACTTCTGCTTACACTTAGGTCACACTACACATGTACAAGCATATATATACACACACCCCTCTGGGTTTTCTGCTATTTTCATTCTAGTTCTTGTTCTTGTTCTTGTTTATTTCCTCTTATCTCCATGGGGAAGTGGAACAGAATTCTTCCTCCATAAGCCATGCGTGTTGTAAGAGGCGACTAAAATGCTGGGAGCAAGGGGCTAGTAATCCCTTCTGTATAAATTACTAAATTTAAAAAGAGAAACTTTTGTTTTTCTTTTTGGGCCACCCTGCCTCGGTGGGATACGGCTGGTTTGTTGAAAGAAGAAGAAGAAACATGCAGGGTTTCAGGTACGTCTTGCTACTTCTACTTACACTTAGGTCACACTACACATACATGTACAAGCATATATATACACACACCCCTCTGGGTTTTCTGCTATTTTCATTCTAGTTCTTGTTCTTGTTCTTGTTTATTTCCTCTTATCTCCATGGGGAAGTGAAACAGAATTCTTCCGTAAGCTATGCATATTGTAATGGCAACTAAAATGCCAGGAGCAAGGGGCTAGTAACCCCTTCTCCTGTATAAATTACTAAATTTAAAAAGAGAAACTTTCGTTTTTCTTTTTGGGCCACCCTGTCTCGGTGGGATACGGCTGGTTTGTTGAAAGAAGAAATGTATGAAAGAGGGGAAGGTACCTAGGGATTGGCAAAGAGCATGTATAGTTCCTTAATATAAAGGGAAGGGGGACAAAAGAGATTGTAAAAATTATAGGTGAATAAGCTTACTGAGTATACCAGGTAAAGTTTACAGTGGGGTTATTATTGAAAGAATTAGAGGTAAGGCAGAGAGTAGGATTGCAGATGAGCAAGGAGGCTTTAAAGTGGGTAGGGGATGTGTAGATCAAGTGTTTACATTGAAGCATATATGTGAACAGTAGTATTCAGATAAAGGTAATGAAGTTTTCATTGCATTTATGGATTTAGAAAAGGCATAAAATAAAGTGGATAGGGGAGCAATGTGGAAGATGTTGCAAGTGTATGGAATAGGTAGTAAGTTACTAAATGCTGTAAAGAGGTTTTTATGAGGATAGTGAGCCTCAGAGTGGTGAAGTGGTGAAGCAATGTAAAAAGAGAGCAAATGAGAGAGTGGGTGAGATGTTATCAACAAATTTTGTTGAAAATAAGAAAAAGTTTTGGAGTGAGATTAACAAGTTAAGAAAGCCTAGAGAACAAATGAATTTGTCAGTTAAAAATAGGAGAGGAGAGTTATTAAATGGAGAGTTAGAGGTATTGGGAAGATGGAGGGAATATTTTGAGGAATTGTTAAATGTTGATGAAGATAGGGAAGCTGTGATTTCATGTATAGGGCAAGGAGGAATAACATCTTGTAGGAGTGAGGAAGAGCCAGTTGTGAGTGTGGGGGAAGTTCGTGAGGCAGTAGGTAAAATGAAAGGGAGTAAGGCAGCCGGGATTGATGGGATAAAGATAGAAATGTTAAAAGCAGGTGGGGATATAGTTTTGGAGTGGTTGGTGCAATTATTTAATAAATGTATGGAAGAGGGTAAGGTACCTAGGGATTGGCAGAGAGCATGCATAGTTCCTTTGTATAAAGGCAAAGGGGATAAAAGAGAGTGCAAAAATTATAGGGGGATAAGTCTGTTGAGTATACCTGGTAAAGTGTATGGTAGAGTTATAATTGAAAGAATTAAGAGTAAGACGGAGAATAGGATAGCAGATGAACAAGGAGGCTTTAGGAAAGGTAGGGGGTGTGTGGACCAGGTGTTTACAGTGAAACATATAAGTGAACAGTATTTAGATAAGGCTAAAGAGGTCTTTGTGGCATTTATGGATTTGGAAAAGGCGTATGACAGGGTGGATAGGGGGGCAATGTGGCAGATGTTGCAAGTGTAGGAGGTAGGTTACTGAAAGCAGTGAAGAGTTTTTACGAGGATAGTGAGGCTCAAGTTAGAGTATGTAGGAAAGAGGGAAATTTTTTCCCAGTAAAAGTAGGCCTTAGACAAGGATGTGTGATGTCACCGTGGTTGTTTAATATATTTATAGATGGGGTTGTAAGAGAAGTAAATGCGAGGGTCTTGACAAGAGGCGTGGAGTTAAAAGATAAAGAATCACACACAAAGTGGGAGTTGTCACAGTTGCTCTTTGCTGATGACACTGTGCTCTTGGGAGATTCTGAAGAGAAGTTGCAGAGATTGGTGGATGAATTTGGTAGGGTGTGCAAAAGAAGAAAATTAAAGGTGAATACAGGAAAGGTAAGGTTATGAGGATAACAAAAAGATTAGGTGATGAAAGATTGGATATCAGATTGGAGGGAGAGAGTATGGAGGAGGTGAACGTATTCAGATATTTGGGAGTGGACGTGTCAGCGGATGGGTCTATGAAAGATGAGGTGAATCATAGAATTGATGAGGGAAAAAGAGTGAGTGGTGCACTTAGGAGTCTGTGGAGACAAAGAACTTTGTCCTTAGAGGCAAAGAGGGGAATGTATGAGAGTATAGTTTTACCAACGCTCTTATATGGGTGTGAAGCGTGGGTGATGAATGTTGCAGCGAGGAGAAGGCTGGAGGCAGTGGAGATGTCATGTCTGAGGGCAATGTGTGGTGTGAATATAATGCAGAGAATTCGTAGTTTGGAAGTTAGGAGGAGGTGCGGGATTACCAAAACTGTTGTCCAGAGGGCTGAGGAAGGGTTGTTGAGGTGGTTCGGACATGTAGAGAGAATGGAGCGAAACAGAATGACTTCAAGAGTGGAGAAGGAAGGCGGGGTAGGGGTCGGCCTAGGAAAGGTTGGATGGAGGGGGTAAAGGTTGTTTTGTGTGCGAGGGGCTTGGACTTCCAGCAGGCATGCATGAGCGTGTTTGATAGGAGTGAATGGAGACAAATGGTTTTTAATACTTGACGTGCTGTTGGAGTGTGAGCAAAGTAACATTTATGAAGGGATTCAGGGAAACCGGCAGGCCGGACTTGAGTCCTGGAGATGGGAAGTACAGTGCCTGCACTCTGAAGGAGGGGTGCTAATGTTGCAGTTTAAAAACTGTAGTGTAAAGCACCCTTCTGGCAAGACAGTGATGGAGTGAATGATGGTGAAAGTTTTTCTTTTTCGGGCCACCCTACCTTGGTGGGAATCGGCCAGTGTGATAATAAAA